TGTTACCCAGCTATGCCCTGAAACAGGCATCTACCCAGGCTTTTGATCCTGCTCTAAGACCTGGCAATCAGGCGCCTGGGGGGCTTAGTTGGTTAAGCAACTGCCTTCGGCTCAGGTCATGATCCTGGAGTCCCGGGATCGAGTCCCGCATCGGGCTCTCTGCTCGGCAGGGAGTCTGCTTCTCCCTCTGACCCTCCTCCCTCTCATGCTCTCTGTCTCTCATTCTCTCTCTCGCAAATAAATAAAAATCTTAAAAAAAAAAAAAAAAAATTCAAGACCTGGCAATCTTCCTCCTTCGTGCTTGTGTCTGAGATCCATGCAAAGTTCTACAGAGCTAAACAGAGCACGTGGACCAGCCACCCTAACCCACACTTTTGGGCCTAGCTAGCACTCAAGGCTCCCTGCAATTCCACGCTACCTTTCCAAACTCATCCTTCTCTAGTCAAGCTCACAGAATCCTCCTTTCTGGCAGGCTTTTCTTGTCTCTGCCACCTAAACTTGCCTGGTTCATTCCTGTCTCTGTGCCTTTGCTCTCAGGCCATAGTTCCTCCCCAAAGACCCAACGCTCTCCCCTCGCCTGCTACCATGCACCCATTCTGATCATAAGCTTCCTCCCTCCACATCAAGGTTCTCCCTCCCCAGAGAAGCCTTCCCTGATCACCAGGCTTTCAGGGATCTTTCGCTCCTCTGAATTCCTGTATTTCCCGATCACTACCTGGCAATCTGCAATAGGTGTTTACCTTTTAATCTTGTCTTTTCACAGGAGAGCCATTTCCTCATGAGCATGAACCATAAAGCACACTTTAAAAAGCTGAACACTACAATAGCAGTCAACACTAAGAGAGAGTTTTCAGGATATAAGTCTCCCAACAGGAACAAGCAATCTCATTTTTTCATGTTTTTTTCTAGCCCTTGCCCATTTCTGTTGACATTTTTACACAGTAAGAATCATAATAGCAGATCCAACTGTACAGTTGCACATACTGCTTTCCATTCTGCTTTTTCTGCTAACATAGGAAACTACCTTCCTTGGTAAATGATGCTGATTTTCATCATTTTTAATATCTACATAACAATCTTTCCACTGAGATTCTAGACCATGATTTACTTAAGCACTGACTTCTATTGAACGGTACCTTCTTCTTTCTTTGTGCCTTTCACTGCATCAAGTACTATAAAATGCAAAGTAATCCCTTGAGAAATACCTGTTGAAATATACTTATTATCCATTTTCCTTAACAACCCATTTCACTATTTTTCTCTCCAACTAAATATCTAATGTAATTCTTGGTTTCACTACCTTAGGCTAGGTAGATAGGAAAGGTATTTTCCAAACCCTTTTGATGTAAATGTATTTATTTTGGCAGTTGATCTTATACATATTTAACCATGGGAAGTCCTCTGCAGAAAGGCAGTATGATCCTGTAATATCTAATATAAGCTAGATACCTGGCAGGCACTCAGTAAATATTAAGTATTTTTTAAACCATCTGAAGTTATAAAACTTCAAATTCCTGAACAGGAGAGTGTCACTGATCTAGCTAGTACCATCGATTATGCTTGTAAACCTTTCAGTTCATTCAATAATTAAACTGTTTAATAATGTATGAATGGGTGTTCCTTACAGTATATAGAAAAACACAACCGGAGTTACCTCGTGAGTTGTCCAAGTCTGAAAAATAACATGAAAAAACAAACAATATCTGCAACAAGAACTTCAAGATCTCATGACAAATCAAGTTAACAGCTTTCCTTCAGCTTGTTTAAGGACATATTTCAGATGAAGAAAAGCAAAAACAAAAGTTGTAATATTAAAAGTAGGTAAAATTACATATGCATGTGAACACAAACTAGAATGGAAATAAGAAAATGAGAGCGTGAATTGTTTTTCGGGGTTTTTTTTAAATTTTTTTTAATTTTTTTAAAGATTTTATTTATTTATTTGAGAGAGAGAGAGAGCACAAGAGGGGGGAGCGGGAGAGGGAGAAGCAGACTCCCTGCTGAGCAGGGAGCCCGATGCGGGACTCGATCCCGGGACTCCAGGATCATGACCTGAGCCGAAGGCAGTTGCTTAACCAACTGAGCCACCCAGGCACCTGAGAGCATGAATTGTTAAAATGGAAGGATGTCGTAGACTCTTTATGTTTTGTTTTGTTAGTGCAATGTTAAAATATATAACAAAAAAAATATTACTGACAAAAGCGTATTCAATAGCTGTTATAATTCTTGCTATTATTGAACTAGAGCATAATGCTTAATGTTGAAATAACTATGTTTCCCAAACCCACATATAATTTAGCAAAAAAGACTGAAACTCTTACTTCCATAATAAATGTTAAATAAGAAACCAACTAACTACCTTAACACCTTAGCACAGATACTGAATCAGATGAAGAACTTAATGGTATGCTTGAAGCTTCTTGCAAATTTCAGTTTTCCTCAAAAAGTAGCCAATATGATTCCAAATATCAGAATCTATACAGCAAAACTTCATCATCCTGGTAACCCATTCTCTTCTCATTCTTACTTGTGAAGAGTGATTTCTGAGGTTGCATCCTGAACTGATATGCTAAAAGAGAAATAATTATGACTAGAAGTTTACTATTTGTCATAATTACACACTACTTACTTAATACACTAATTTTCCCAGAAGTAATGATCAAAGTTCTGGATCAAATTACTGGAAAGAAAATACATTTCTGTTTTAGTCTTTTTAAACAAATTCCAGACAGCAGTTTGAAGATCACTGGCTTTAGGGGAGCCTGGCTAGCTCAATCAGTGGAGCATGCAACACTTGATCTGGGAGTTTAAGTTCAAACTCCATGCTGGGTGTGGAGATTACTTAAAAATGAAATCTTAAAAAAAAGAAAAAAATCATTAGCTTTAGAATTCCACTACAATGTATTCCATTACTTCTAGATTTATGTAAATGACAACTTCATGACAAAATAGAACCAACAACCTTAATTATTGTGGTAATCACAGCAAAAAGAAGTCCATATGCATCTGGGAAATACAAGGCTAGGTAAGAGATGGCACTAAATGAAGGGGGAAGCAGTTTACCATTATAAGGCACTTCTATTAATAGAGTAATGGATCCATGTATAAACCTTAATTTTGAAATGAGTTCAACCAAAGGAACAGCTAACATCCATTCCACAGCTAAAATTATTATTACTCTGTGTGTCCCTGGAAACTCTGATCCTGCCAATTATTACAATCTAACTAATGACAATTTATAACAATAGTACTTGCCCTCAAAAACTGAAATTCATGCGGGGAGGGGAACAGGGAAGGATTCTAATTATCTGAGATAGTTCTTCTGTGATGGTTGGTTAGCTGCATCTTTTTAGCACTGACATTTCCAAGTTTTTTGTGAAAAGGCAATTTTAAGAATGTGCTGAAATCATCCTTTCAGAATCAAATCCAGGTTGTTTTATGTGGCTTGCTTTTTCCTGTTTTTTTTTTTTTTAATCATTGTGATGGTAATAAAGTTGAATAAAGATGCCTGAGCACTTAAGAATAGAAGTTTCTGAAAACTTTCAGAATTCATCTAAGATCTCTAATTTTGTCAAAGGAAAGACTGAAGCCCCAAAACGTGTACTAGTTTAAGTTCGGGGGGGGGGGGGGGGGGCGGGCCCGCGGGGAGGAGGAACTCTTCTATGTCACGTGACAGCCTTAAGCTGACCTAGCAGAGAAAGGAGGAATCACCAACTCCAATAGAAGACATGACTCTAAGAGAAATAAACCAACTTCCAAAAGAAGGACAACCCAACAAAACATACTGACAACTGGTTGATCTGTGTATCTCAATATACACAAATGACAGCACAGAAAAGGAAAACTCATAATTTCTACAGACTTAACACTTGATTACCAACAAGTAAGTTGCAAAAACGTCTTAGAAGTGATTCTGATACAAGATTTTGATTAGTTAAGAGTCTTATCAATTGAAAAGTCATCTGCTGGGGTTGTAACAGTAATCTCAGTAACAGCCTTGTATAGAAAGTGTTTTCAAATATATTATCTCATTTCAAGTTACTTGCCCAGTCACGCTGCTACTTAAGCATTAAAGCCAAGGCCCAGCCCACCTCCTCTTGGTACTTGAGTTGGGGGTTCTCCTCACTCCATTTGACTGACTAAAGATGATTTAAAATGTACTCGGTTTATCTGCTTTCTCTACCCTCCCTGCAGAATTGAGAGAATGTCTGAAAGATACAATTTCACAAGAATCTTGGCACTTAAACTATTTATTGTTGAGAGATGACGAATATGACTTCAAGCAAAAACAAAACTATCTCAACAGCCAAAAAAAGGGTGGAAGGGCATCTCTTTTACCCAACTTCAATCAAAGTCTTTACAATTCTTTATGACCGTCCAGGCTAAACGTACAAAAACGCAGACGAGGAATGTTTGCACTTGAGTGCTTTCTCAGGAGTAAACCAAATTCCCTGCCATTTCTTCCTGCCACGGACCACAGAAGTGCAGGGTTGGGGTGACTGGGCCAGAGACGTGGGGCCTCGGGGTCCCTGGCTGTCCCGGGCAGGCTGGAGGGGTGAGGACACGAGGGGCGGGGGCCACTCTGACAGCTGGCAAGGAGAAAGCGGGGGACGCGGCGGGGCACGAGCGAGGGGCAGGGGTGGGGGGAAGGAGGAAGCGAGCCCGGGGCAAGGGACCAGAGCGCCCTCCCGCAAGGGCAGGGGAGGCGAGAGGGCGAAAGGGCGCCGGGGCGGGGCGGGAGCGCCGGCGGAAGGGGCAGCGGACCGGGACGTGGGGCCCGCGGCGCCCGGGACGCGGTGCGGGCGAGGGGAGGGGCGTCCCCGCGCAGGACGGGCGGGCGCGGGGGACGAGGTTTCGGGGCGCGCCGGCCGCTCTCTCGCCTAGACGCGGACTGCAGGGGCGGGACCGGCCGGACCCCACACGGCGGCCGCGGCTGAGGGAAGGGCGCGCCAGGCACCTGCCGCTCCACCGTGGCGGCCCCGGGCGGGCTCGGCTCTCACCTCTCCGGTTCATGGGCCGGATCCGCACGGCCACTTTCACTTTGGAGTCCCCCATCCTGCTGCCGCCGAGGCTCTCCCTCGCCTTCCGTCTGCCGCGGCCACCGGGCGAACTCTTCGGGGCTGGCCGGGCGGGAGGGGGCTGCGGGCGGGAGGGGCGGGGCGGGGGCGGAGCCTGGGCGGGGCGGGGCGGGGCAGGTCGCCGGGCTCCCGGCGCGTCCTCGCTGCACGACGGGACTGCATGACGGGACTTGTAGTCCCTGAAGGTGGTCTAGGGCAGGACAGCGGCAGAGGGACTCTGGCGGGAGAAATCAGGGGCGCTTCGCTGTGTGGAACGTGTAAATGCCCCTGTGCTTCGACACCATTCTGCTATCACAGCTACTACTGAAACATAAGTCCTCGCTAAGCCGATATCGCACCTGAAAACAAAGGGTTGAATAGATGGCATTGGAGACCCTGAGAGCGACCTCTTCAGACTCATTTCCTGCCAACCTTAAAGTATGATCCCTGGCTCAACTTCCTCGGCCTGGATTGCACTCCCGGCTTTGTTTGCCGAAATCATCCTTCAAGACAAGACAAACGTTAACCTTTCTGGAAGTCTTCATAGATCCACAGGTTAACCCTATAAGACCCCGTCCTCTGAACCCCTTCCAGTCAAGACCTTGGGCTCCTGAACCAATCTGAACTCAAATCCCACGTCAGCACTTTCAAGCGGTGTGACCACGGACAAGTGATTTGACCGCTTAAGGCTTGTGTTTTCATAATTAAAATGGAAACACTTTATGCCTATTTCGTAGGATTGTTTCAAGACTTAAATGAGTTAATACATGTAAAGTTCTTAAAAACTCCCTGGCACGTAGGAAGTGCTCAATAAATGTTAAGTCGTAATTGTTTTCGCTTTGTTATAGCATTTATGCTGCTACTGTTTGCTCTCTTATCATATATTTTTTAAACTATATCTTGTATGTGTAGCCTAACCTTTAGTAGAGACCCAGTACACATTTATTGCGTGAATGAATGAATGAATGCATGCATGAAGCCGCACTAAAATTAGCACCTTATTAGCCCATGCAGAGACTGCGAACTGGTGGCCTGTGGGCTAGATCTGGCTTGCAAATATGTTCCATTTGGCGCAACAGTACTGGCCAATGCATGAAAATTAGGAGACTTGTCCGTTGGATTCTGGGTCTACATTACCTATTAGGAATGATGGGTTGGAACTGGGTGGTAGTGGCCACCTTCATGGGAGGCAAGGTTCTCCGTTTCACCATTGACCCCCCTCCACTCTCCTTTACCACTTGTGTCTGGATCCCATAGGTTTGTGATGCCTACTTGGATATGTTTAAATGATAGTACAAAACTCAGAACTATTTTACAGATGAGTCAATATAGAAAGCCAGCAAGACTTGTCCTTTTACCAACCACCCAATTAGTTGAAAGAACTTCAAAACAAGGGCGCCTGGGTGGCTCAGTTGGTTAAGCGACTGCCTTCGGCTCAGGTCATGATCCTGGAGTCCCGCGATCGAGTCCCACGTCGGGCTCCCTGCTGAGCAGGGAGTCTGCCTCTCTCTCTGACCCTCCCCCCTCTCATGCTCTCTATCTCATTCTCTCTCTCAAATAAATAAAATCTTAAAAAAAAAAAAAAAAGAACTTCAAAACGAGTAGAATTGTCAAAAAGGTTAAAAGCACCTTTAAGAGGAATGTCATTCTCATACCACGCATAGATGAACATTGAAGACCTTGTGCTCACTGAAATAAGCCAGACACCACACACAAAAACACTGTATGGTTTCATGTAGATGAGATACCTAGAATAATGAAATTCATAGAGACAGAAAGTAGAATGGTGGTGGTTGTCAGGGATGAGGGGAGGGGAAATGGGGAGTTCATGTTTAATGGCTGTTTGGGAGTTGCTGTTTGGGAAGATGAAAAAGGTCTGGAGATGGATAGTGGTGATGGTCGCACAACAGTGTGAATGTACTTAATATCACTGTACACTTAAAAGTGGTTTAAGTGGTAAATTTATGTTATGTATATTTTACCACAATTTTTTTTAAAAAGGTTAAAAATAGAAAAAGCTATGCCAGAATGCCCTCTTTAAAAGAAGGGAATTGGGGCGCCTGGGGGCTCAGTCGGTTAAGCGACTGACTCCTGATTTCGACTCAGGTAATGATCTCAGGGTCCTGAGATAGAGCCCTGAGTGGGGCTCCATGCTCAGCATGGAGTCTGTTTCAGATTCTCTCCCTCCCCTTCTCCTTCTCCACCCCCCCCCCACCCCAGCTCGTGCTCACTCTCTCTTAAATAAATAAATAAAATATTTAAAAAATAAAAATAAATAAGAAGGGAATTTATTTCACAAGGGCACTTTTTCTGAGCTTTCAGAGGGCTTTCTCAGCTGCAGAAGGAGTAGATATTAACAGAATAAGTCTTTTGATTTTCACAGCCCAATAAGGTAAACAAATAAAAAGAACCAATTTAGGATTGGCAGCTTTTTAATTTTACCAAGTAAATTTCTTAAAAACTAATGCACGTAATTGCTATCTGCAGTCCCTATCATTCTTTTAAGAAAAGAAAAAGGTCACAAAGGATACATTTTTATATTGAAATTGTTTACTTGATGAAAAACCCCACTACTGTCCTTTTGCTTTTATTTAGCGTTGAAAAAATTTTTGTCATGTTATCAGAGCTGGGTACTCTGGTCTTAAACATACTTCCTAATAACCATCTTACCACATTCAGATTATAACAAAAAAGGGTTTGCAATGTGTCAAAGTTCCTGGGCAGCCATTTTTCCGTTTATATCTCTTTTATAACCTGGCAAATGTTGGTTTTAAAAGGCATGGTGTGATGATAGCTTGAATCTAGCTTTTTAAACAGAGGCCAGAAAAAGAGAAGGCTGCACAGTTTCTGGGGGAACACTGTGTTTAAATTTAAGCTCAAATTTCAGAGAGAAGAAAGCCCCTAAGGAGTTGAAGTGGGGGTGGGGGGGAGAAAGTAATAGGGAAGAGGTGAGGACTTTCTCTAAAGTTCCAAAATCAGACAAATTGTCCTGGAAACATTTGATTGGAAGAAAATGATAGTAGCTTCCCAAGAGACTGTAGAGAAAACCCCTCATGGGCCATTCTCCCTTCTGACTTCTATTCACACTAACTTCTCTCTTTTGACTTCTGCAATAAAGACGAGGAGGGAGGGTTCTCAGAGCAGAGAGCCTGAGACCAGAAATGTCTTTATCTTCCCCTGGAAAGTGTTCCTGAGATAGACCTGAGAGAAAGGACTGAGACGCAAGTTGCAACCTGCAACCCAGGAGCTTGGGGGCTCTCACACCAGATGAAACTGGAGCGCTACCTCGGAACCACGCAGGGGGTGTGGGCTCAAGCCCCAACAGGAGACGTGGAAAGCCATCAGCTCTCTCTTTCCAACTCTTCAGAGAAAGGAAAGGAAAAGAATTTAGTAAACAAAGCGCTTCCTTGGACCTTTGTTTTGTAAAGCAAGTACTTAATAAATCAACCAATATTTATGGTGCAGATACTACATTGCGAGCCATTGTGATAGGTCTGTTTAACGTTGAACTTTAGCTGTGTCAGTAAGTTTCTCCTTTTTTTTGCCCTGACGTTTTGCAAATCTACTCATTCTAAACCTGATTTCTAGTTGACGTTTTTGTTGCTTTGATCCACCCATTCAACAGTTTCTGGTGGTCTGTATCTAGGCTGAGGAATACATTTTGCCTTGTCTTTGTTAAGATCATCACTTACAAAATAATAATAGCTAACATACTTTGAATGCACACTATGTGCCAGACACTGTCCTAAGCATTTTACACAAAATAATTCACTTAACACTCACACTAACTCTATGAAGTACTTACTGTTATTATCCCTACATTACAAAGGGGAAACTGAGGACCTGAGCAAATTATTGAAGGAGCCGCTGGGCTGCTACTATGTCCTGACCTCTCACTCCACAGTCTTTCATGATGGGAAGCGTCTACATGCAGATTGCTCAGCCCGTGGGAATTAAAAAAAGATCCATTCTACTTTCCAAAAAAGTTTCTAAAACTCCACTACTGTAAAAAAGTGGGAACTGTGTACTAAGTTCTATTTTTGCCTTTAAAAAGGAGGGAATGAGCTAATGGCTACATGGAGGCAGGAGATTTCTTTCCAGCATAAATCAGAATTAACCTGGACTCGGGTCTCAGACTTATTGTCCCAGACTTAGCTTTGCCAGAACTTAGTTTTCCCAATTAGAATCATTCCTTCTGTCTCCCCAGCTATAGTGTGAGCACAAGGATAGCATCTTTTGCTAGTCTCTTTTATCTCCAACACCCAGGACGATGCCTGGAACGTAGCAGGCAGGCACATAATACATTTTTGGGAATGAAGATATTAGCAACACAGCAAAACGATTAACCTCAGACAGATTAGATGACTTGCCTCAAGTCACACAACTAGTAAGTGGCAGGGTTGGAATGCAAACACAAATTTGTTTGATTCCAAAAATCTAGGCTGTTGTCACAAAGAAGCCATCCCCATGTGACCTTTCATGTATTTTTCATGTTAGTGCGCTACCTTTTCTACCAGGTGAATCCTTAGTGGGAGCCTCGGTCTCAATGATAGCAGTCATCCTGTCATACCTGTTATTTATGGAGTGCTTATGTGCCAGGCATTGTGTTCAGGACTCCCCCTATGTGATCTCATTTACCTTTCATATCAGTCCCGTGAATTTGGTGCTGTGATGATAGCCTTTGACAGATGGGCAACTGAGACTTAAATAAGGCAAATTAACGTGCACAGTGGCCCGAGTAAGAAGTTTCTGAATATGAATCCTGGGTGTCCCCAAACACTGCGTGCAATTGCCCAGACTGACAAACCATGACCACTCCCTACCCTGTCTATTTGTGTGGTACCTGGTGTTCTGCTGTATCTATCAGCATTTACTGACACTCCTTGTCAACCACCCACTAACAAGACCACACCTGGATCTTGCCATTATCTAAGATGGCACCGCCTATGAAATTCAATACCTCCCAACCATCACCTCAACCTCATCCAACCTGACTCACTCTCCTACTCCCAAAGACCAAGTACACTGTTTTTAAGCCTCCAGTTCCTCAACTTACCCCTTTTCTCATACTCAAACTCCTTCAGGGTTTCA